AGCACTTTCATTAACTGAGGGATAGACATATTGAAGTGTATATAGTTTGCTAATATTGTATCAGTAATGTTATTAACTATACATGTATGAATGGCCTTAGCCATCTCCCTCTTGACTTTGTTCTGCAGTTCATCCTTTAGTAAGTGTTTGAAGCACATAGCTGCAACACTAGAAACAATACAGTAGTGCCACATCTTGTAGTTTGCTTTGGTCTTAAGTATTGTAATGTTTTGACCAAAGTATTTAGGTACATTGGCTGGTTTACAGTGTGTATTAGTACATAGGGGAACCATGATGCAAATGTGTGCAAATGTATACAAATAAAGAGTTTAGAGTGTACAGTGGATGTGTGTATACAGGGAGCTCAAGGCTCATAACCTGTTAAGAGGGAAAACTTAAGGGGGGCATGCATAGACAAGGGGTGAGGTGACAATTGACTGCTTAGTGTCTCTCATCCTTATATTGTATGTATTCTAACTGAGACATTATGAAGTCATCATCTTGTGGTTTGTCTGTTGATGAACTAATCATCTTATAATAACTCTGCTTAGTCTTCTTGAAGTGAAAAGAAAGAAGATCTCCCAGCAGTCAGCACTTGCAAAGTTACAGGACTATACATGTTGAGCTAGTCAGTACAAAGGAAGAGTCCTGATGAGGATCAAGGCATTCTTGATCCACACAGGTACAGTCATGGCCTACAAAGTTGACACACAAAACAACCTGCATGACCTTTGACAGGTTGGCTACTATGCAATCAATAGTCTGTAATAGGCCATGGACCTGTATGAAATAGCTGCAACACACTAGAACAAACCAGTCCTACAACCTATTGAAGTAAATTAACTAGACAAGTATGAATAGTAGTTTTTTAGAAAGCAAAGATTATAGTCTGTCCAGTACCTGCAGGGCACACCAATATAAGAGACTAGTTTGAAAGTATCATTTGAAACATAATCACACTCATGCAAGCAAAAGCAAAGTAAAGTAATGAATCTAATGATCCATAGTCTTTAGACATCAGGAATCAGGACACATAATCTACTGTGTCCCACAAAGGGTATGCATACTCAACAAAGTTGTGAAGAATTATCATTTTTCAACACAGTGAAGTAAGTAGTACATGAATTCAATAAAAATGACAGTAGGGATCAGAAACACATAGTGTTATGACTCACAGAAAAACACCCATTACTACATGTTGTACTCAGGATCAGGCACAGTTGTCCATTGACTAAGCATGTCCTTGAACACCATCCTATTTTGTGTCAACCATCCAAAAATCAGAGTGTCTCTCTTTGTAGCTGTCATGTTTGCATATCTCAAGCATGTCTTGTACAGATTGTTGTATGTACAACAAACAATAAGGATATGCAAGTCTTCATTTTTGTGTGAGTGGCAAGGACAAGTCATCTGAGTTGGGTGTATGAACTTTGAAGTATCTTAGGGATTTTTCAAGCAGCTTCCCCACAACAAAACAGATGGTGCAAATCCAGATTTTACTGTTGTTCTTACCATCAACATTGTTGCCTTTAATGATCAAAGTGAGCTTCAAAATTTGCTCTCTTGTGAGCAGAATGCCTGCATATTTCAACATGTCTACCACCTTGTAAGATAGCTGATACTATTGAGGTAGTGGGGAACACACTAAACAGTTAGGAAAGATCCAAATATAACTGTATAAGATGTTACTAGCTTTCTGCTAATTTCACAACCTTGGTGGAGACTACATGGTTTGAAATTGAAGATGGAATTGATGTTGATTCGTGCCATTTAAACTTTATAGTACATCACGAAAAAGTCGCAACAAATGTAATTAATAATAGCAAATATAATATAATAATGTACTTATATATCAATTACAAT